TGATCTTTCTCGACTTGTAATTTCGTTTCGTTTAGGTTATGTCTTATAAAAATAAATATTTATAAGCTTTTGAATTGAAATATACCTTAATGCATATCTGAGTAATTAAAAAATTCAGTTTTTTCGTCCCTCGCGAAGAAACATAAACAGTATTTGTGAAATTTGGATTAGAAACTATTATTTTATTAGTTTATTTTGTTGTGTTTAAGTGTTGTGTATTTGTACCTACTGGATAATATTTTCCAACATATTTAATTAAGCAAAAAGCATCTGTTTTACAGGTAAGTAAATACTGTTCATATTTATTTCTAAATTCATATAAATTTGTTTTAAATCACTCTTGGGAAAAATGTTATAGAGTCTGAGATAAGTTTAATAATAAACATTTGATAGATTGATAGATAGATTAAACGATAATGCCCAGTTTGCTTAAAAGTTTAAAAAAATACTGATTTTATGCTATAAATTGTTTCATTTCTCACTTTGCTTTTTTGGAATTGTCAGATATATTGTGTATTTTATAATTTTTCCGAGAATTTTTCTTAATAACTTGATAACGTAAAATATTTTTTATCTACAGTCAACCCTGTGTTTAGATAAAGCTTCATATCAGATTTCCTATTTTATATTTTCACTCAAATCATATTTTTTGTAAAATATGCTTGCAAAAGTAGCGTAAATTTGACAGGGAGGTATTTTTATAGATATACAGGATGATTCAAATATATATTTACTTTTAAAGTTATTAGTTATGAGCAAAGGTTATGAGTTTGTGAAAAGAAAGGCTATATTTTGTATTTTTGCTTGGTGGATTTGTTATTAAATTGTCATTCCAAAAAATACCATAATGTCGTAGTCGTATAGAGTTCATTTTGACCAAAGAATATATTTTGACCCTTTTTGGATTGAATTTTATTGTTTATATAATAAAATATATATTTAAAGCCCTCTCTTTCTAAGTTAAGTTAAAAATAGGTAATATCGACGTTTTTTACTGGAACTAATTTAAGTTAATAATTATAATTATATAATTCATATAATTATATTAAAATAGACTAAATTGTTTATTATATACAGGATGAGTCAAAACTAGATATTATATTTTTCTTTGCTATTTCAAATGAAACACTGTATTTTATATCATAAATCAACAAAGCTTTTATGCAACTTTTGTTTTATTAAGATCTATATCCCAAATTAATAGTTATTAAATTGTTTTCAATTGTCTCTTTGCGAATAAACATGATTTTTTACGCAATTTTTATTAGTAGGTTTGTCGACAAAAGTGATGTATCTATTTATCAGCGACAAAAATTAAGAATTAGATGTTTAAAATAATTTTCTAATTATTTTTTTACTTGGCATCAGTAAATATGATTTATTTTATCGATGCAGCTGAAAATAATTATGTATTCTAAAAGAGGACATTACTGTATATACATCGATTATGGATTTAAAAATTATTTTTCAAAACAAAGTTGGAAAAAATTTTTGAGAAAAAATTGGAGTTCTGTTCGAAATAATCGAGAAAAACCCAACATCTAGTTTTGACGCCCCTAGTATATATCATGCATTATAGTTGATTATACTGCAATTTATTATACATACGTAGTTTTGTTTGGTGAAAATGAAACTTTCTAAAAGTATTCCCAATTAAAACATATTAAGAATTTCCTACATTATAATTTTGAAGACGTTTGAGTGGGCAGACAATTTGGTCTAAAATAATATGTCTAAAAAATTTAGCCTAAAATAATCAAAAACCACTTAACACATATAACTCGCTTTTAAAAAATCTAAAAGAAATAAGTTTGTTTATTATATTCATATTTTATTAAATTATTATAGGTGTGACTGCTAAGTGGTCGTACTCGCCACTTTAACCAAGCATTGGTGGGACCTTCAGAGATCATAATGCGAATTTCTTCATACCATGTAAATCTATATACATGTATAATAAATGCGTTTGCTTTATTAAATTTTTTTTCTTATACGGTATGAGCGAAAAAAAACGGCGTCTATTTGTTTACGTACAAATGACATCGATATTCATTTCCAAACCACCTCTGAGGCCGTTTTTTTTTATCGTATGGTATATATTTACATATCCCTTATCCTTTAATTCCGATTTATTTCTAATAATTATAAAAATAAGATACCTGATTAATTCTTCCGAAATATTATAAAATGAGATATCACGAAAGAAATAAAGTTAATTATCTCGTTTGTTTTGGGAATTCCAAAAAAATAAAAAAAAGGGTATAGAGAATCTTTAGAGACACAGTTCAAATGTTATTTTTGAGTATACTGGTTGCTTCAAAAAATGTGGCGGATACATGTTTTTTAATGCAAAACTCCATTTTTATTTTATTTTCGATTCTGCCTAAAATTCTATAACTTTTTTTTATAAATAACGTTAGTAAGTATTTACAATTTAAAAAAAAAGTAAAATTTTATTCCTATGTTACTTAACTGTCAGTTGTTTCCGAAGTTGGACTACACAAATTTGGTAGGAGTGTTTTACAGAGATGAAAAAAAAATATATTTATATGTAAAAATACTTGCAGTTAGATGCTACACTGTGTTCAAACATTTTTTTTGGCTGATCCGATATATATATTATTATTTTTTCTAGTGATTTTACAAAACCTTTCAACATTTGTTAAGAAAGTATATTAAGTACACCTATACTCAACAGCTTGCAATCTGTTCTGAATTTTATCCTTCTTTTAATTCATTTACATTATAACAAGTTGCCATATGACAAAACAAAAATTATTTATTATTAAACATTAAGTAAAGTGATTTATTTAGTTATATGACATTCTTAATAGAAGTTGAAGGATTTTGTAAAATCTATCAGAAAGAATTATAATATATCGGGTGTTTTTCAAAAGTAGCTTGATTGATGTATTCAATTAGTTTCGGTCATTTCTTGTTTCACCGGAAATGACTACAACTTTTGGTTTTTAAATGGTACCGTCGGTATTTTTTTACTTTATTTTGCAGAATATGGCATTCTCAATAGAATAATTCAATGTCAACTTTTGACTCTTTTACTTAAAAAATAGTATTTTAAAGTTCAATCTAGTAGAGTGCCATGATAATAAACAACATGTAACCGGTCGTAAAGATAACGACAGTTTGACTCGACATACGGAGTGTGTGGTACCAAATTATTTACCAAAATTAGGTACCAAAATTTATTAGGTATCAAAAAATGCTTTTCCAAATATGCTAATGAGCCACTCTCGTTTCATTAAAAAAAATTGAGTTATGATTAAAATACGAAATGGGCATATTTCAACTGACCAGGAAAAGACACAAAAAATATTAGACGACCAAATCAATTTTTCCAAAGCTCCTTGATTAATCCTTGATTAAAAAATAATGGTTTTAACACAGCCATGACACTAGATTGAATTTTAAAATGCTATTTTTGATTTAATTGAAAATGTCAAAAGTTGACATATGATTGTTGATGTCAAAAGTTGTCATTCTATTCAGAATGTCATTTTCTATCAAATAAAGTACCGTATGATCGAATAAAAACGGCGTCAGCAATGGCTATGAAATGAAAAGCGCTGTCATTTTATATGTAAATTTATATGAGAAATGTCATCGATGTTCATTTCATAGCCATCGCTGACGCCGTTTTTATTCGATCTTACGGTATAAAAAATACCGAGGGTACCATTTAAAAATCAAATGTATACATTTCCGGTGAAACAGGAAGTGACCGAAACTAACTGAATACGAATCAATCTCGATTTATGTCATATACCTACTAACATTCCCAATTTAGTTTTTTTCTCGGAATCTGAAAAAATAAAAAAGTTATAGAGGTGAACCACTTTAAAAAAAAACACTCAGTATAGGCTGTGTCATTGAAAGAGTCTGCAGATATTTTTTTAATTTTAAATACGTAGAATTAACCATTAATATATGTTGAACACCCTGTAGCATCTGCCTTAAATATCTACATAGTATCTAATATTTTTTCTTCATCAACAAATTGAAATATTAGAAAACTAGTTTTAGGTTACACCATTATACAAGGATTATACATAAAAAAGTAATAATTTTACGCAGGATCTAAAATAAAATAGGATGTTACATTTAAAAAAAAACATATGTTAAATCCGTCATACTTTTTACAAAGTTACAGAGGTAGGTAGGTATAGTTTCATATATTTTTTTAATTATCCATCTAGAAATAAAATATATATATACCTAATATAATAATTTAGTATTTAACAAGGGGCCATGAAAATCAAAATAAATATAAATCCATATCCACAAATAAAAAATGTAAATAACGCTTTGAGGTAAAAATTCGATTCAAAGCAGATAAGATATTTTATTCTTTACCGAGAATTAAATTCGAAGAATTCCTAGTCCCTACTTCTTTGCCAAATTCAATAGTCTCCGCCCCTTTTTACGTTTTAATTTCTGCCACCAGTTGGCAGCATCGACTTATACAGGCACATTGACTAACTATTAATATATAAACAAGGATGGTACTGTCCTCTTTTCTCCCACGTCAATAGGTTTCAATAAAAGTCCCCTTTTTTTACACGCCAAACTCAAAATATAAAAAATATTCGTCTATCACCAAAAAGCTGTTAATTTTTTGTTCGTACAGAAAAGAAATATTTGTGGAAGCGATGCATGTTTAGCTTTATTGGTAGCTATGTTTTGAAATAAAAAGTGTTGTAGAAAATCGTTTATTTTATTTTAACAAGTTTTGAGTAAGCAGTATATTTTTGAGTAAGTAAATATTTTCAAGAAAGTAAGGAAGACTTCACCGCGTAATGAAGAATCATTTTTAAGAAAGTAAAAGAATCACCGCATAACGTTGTCCGAGGTTTCAAAAAAAGTTTCGGTAGCGGCGCCGGTGCTTTTTACCCTCTCGTCCTATATTTTCTAATTTGAAAGTTGGCAACCCTATATAACCATTACAGATCCATTAATATAAGTAAAGGAAAACAACACAATAATTATCTATAATTAAGTTTTATATACGCATTTAATTCGATTATAAAATAAAAATAATTTGGAAACATTTTACAGAATTATTATATCACAATATTGTTATATTCTCTTAATTTAAATCCAGTTTCTTTTGCACACCTCTGGTACTATATGAATTAATTTAGCCTTTCGAAATTCGTTCATATTTTCTGTCTTTTTCGATATCATAGCGAAAAAGTCTACATCTTCGACGGCCACATCCACTGAACTATTCTTCTCACCGAATACGATAGTACTAAAGCCTATCGCATGTTTGGTCTCGGACTCCTTTGCAGCTGTTTCTAATTCTTTTAAGTACTGGTCATAGGTAAGCTCTAAGTTCGACTCCAACTGTTTTAACAATTTCGTGAATTCATCGTAATAATATCTGAAATAGAAAATTAAAATGTTAAATATATCTGAGAAAATAATAATATGAATATAATACATAATGAAAATAAACATTTTCCAGGTATTGTATTTCCTATGTCAGTTGGATTGGTTTATTTTTTATCGGCATCGTCTGGACACACAACAGTCCTAAACAAGTCCAAGTGACTTTGGAAGTACTTTTATCCAATCAATTATTTCATTACTGAAAATACAGGGTGCTACAAATTCGAGGTACGAGCATTGGGATCTAGGAAACCGTAATAGATACGAAGATGGTTAAATTGGGGCAGAGTTGCGCCTTGGGATGTTCACCAAGATACCATCAAAAAAGTTTTAAACATTTCAAGGATTGCTTTTTTTGAAAATATATTTTATTTCTTCCTGTCGTTACTTTTTCGAAAATCAAAAAACTAATTGCACATTCTCATATAGCCACTTTATTAGGGCTATCTGAAAGTATTTTTATATTTTCAGATAGCCTCACCCAAGCAACACAGATAGTAGCAGGTACGTTCCTGGGACTACAAAAGCGACCATCAAGTAGACTGCCACTATCGACGGCTACGTTGCCGCCACGTAGCCGCCACGTAACTGTTACTAAAATGGGGAAGAATTTAGGGTAACGGGGTAGTATACCGGGTGGTCCCAGGGACTAACGCTGCCACTATATTTCGTAACTATAAAGTGAAAGGGTAGTAGCGGCCACTATCCTGCTACGTAGCGGACTGGTCGCCCCTACGTAGCCGCCTGGTAACTGCTACTATATAGTAGCAAAACATTCTTCAAGCGACCTCTACTTTTAAAAAACGTTTTGAAATAAAATAATAATATGATATGACAGCCGTGGTGCATGGCCATGTTAAAGTTAAGTTAATAATGGCGTGTTATGTTTATGAGGAAAATGATGGTTTTTAATCGCGTATTTCGGACACTTCCAGGACTAATATAATAACGCACGTCAGTTTACTGACAAATATTACCGAGTTAGATGGAAATATTTTAACGCGCCTTCGAACTGATTCAATTTTGTAGATATTTAAGGACAAAAAATGATATCAAAAATATTAAAAATAATATTTCGTAATGCACGAAAGTGTATTCGAGTTCTAATTGGAAAAATAAATGCTTAAAGCACTATAAAACTTGAGAAAATAAAGAAAAAATTAAAATATATTAACAAATAAATTTAATTAAAAAATGTCTGACAGTAAAAAATGGCTGACGCACACTTCGCTACAATAAAGTTAGGCTCTTCCCTATGAAGTAGCAGGGACTACCCATTTTTTATCATAAAAGATCCGCTACTTCCAGTGATTAAGTTGTTACTACTCAAAAGTTACTTTGTAGTATCGGATACTACTTCGGAACTTTGTTATTCTTAAATGTATTTAAATTTTGTACACTATGGTAACTACTGGAACTAGAAAGTTACTTTGAACACCCAAAAAGTCGGACAATCAGGCATTTTGTGACAATATAGTTCCATATGTTTCTATAAAGTTCCGCCTACCTCTAATCTCAAAACAATTTAAGAACACTAATTTTTTATCTAGGAGCCTTGGAAAAATATATTTGATCTTTTAATGTTTTTCGTGTCTTGTCCTGACTGGTTAAAAGATGCCTAAATTGTATTTTTAATCATATCTCAATTTTTTCAAATGGAACGAGGATGACTTATTAGCATATTTGAAAAAAGGCATTTTTACGAATAATTTGGTACCACACACTTGATATTTCGAGTCAAATTGCCGTTATGAACCGATGTTACAATTTCAAATAAACCATATGAGAAAATGTCGTATTATGATATGTCATTCTATTCAGAGTGTCATTTTCTATTGACATTTTCTATTGACCTTTAAGCAAAAAAAAAAAAAAATATTGAGGGTGCCATTTAAAAATCAAAAGTTGTCTTTTCCGGTGAAACATGAATTGACCAAAAACAATTGAATAAAAAAAAATGATGAATGAGATAATCAAATTTTTTACTTTCACCCTAATCTGATTTACTTTAATTCCAGTCTCCAAAATCTCATTTAATTCTGTTACAAAATCATGTAAAAATTCTTGTAATGGAGGTTTTGACTCGCCACAATTAATAGCTGCCACCATGGGTTGATCGCAAGGATATTCATGCATTTTTAGGAGTATCGGCCAAAATTCTAATGGAGAACTCTTAAATGGAAGCAAGCCGTCAACATTAAAAATTAGAGACACCGATTCTAGGTTGGTCTCTTCGGATAAACGTTCTACTAAAATCTTCCTTATTCCATTGTACCAAAATTCTCCATTTTCCATTGGAACAATGACATAATATCTCAGTGTACTCAATAAAGGCCTGCTGTTTCCTGGCAATGATGTTAAGCCTTTATTTTTTAGTATACCAAGTAAATCTGTTAAAGCAATGTGGCTAATTTGGTGTTTTAATGCCCAATGCCTTAGTTCCTGACCTTTGTTTCTTTCTTCTCTGAGCTCTGTTTTATCTTTAAATTCATCAGTAGTCACCAACTCGACATTTCTAGAAAAATGCAGCTATAAGAACTTTACAAATATATAGAAAATACGACAATTATACATAATAATAATATGTGTATGAATTTTCAAAAATAAATTTAAAATAATTTATTGTCATATCAAGTCCAGTCATACTTCTCTAAATTTAATCCAATAAACCCTTTATCCTGGTGAACTTGTCTAGGAAGTTCCACTAGCAGCGCAGTGAACAAACAATTTTATTGATCTTTATTCTTGTGGTAACGGACAGGATGGGTAAATACGCGATCTGCTACTATAAAGAAATATTTTTTAGTTTCCACAACTTTATAGTAGCAAGACGTCAATAGGAGTATAGTACCCGTTACTTTATAGTAACAAACCATAGTCGCAGCTACTATTTTGGGACCAACAATTAGTACCCAAATGCCTCGTAACTTTGAGACCCAGAATATAGGGTACTGCGACTATTCTGCGACTAAGCATGGGACTATATAGTAACAAGTACTTCATACACCCATTTTAGTAGCACAGGCTGGTAGCCGTTCTGTATTTATTGTCACTATGTAGATTTTGCCACTTAGTGGTAACAATGAAAGGATTTGCGTAGTCCCAGTTACTAGACGCAACAACCCATTTGCTACCTTAATTTTGGGTGTTTAAATTCCAAATGACTAGTAACAGGGTGGTAACAGATACTATCCAAAAATACTCTGCAGTGGTATTACCGGATATAGTGACAAATTAGGTAACAGGGTGCACCCAGGAACTATGTTTTGGTAGCCAGTCTTAAACCGAAGGGATTTGGAACTATCTGTGTTGCTTGGGCAGCTGCTAATTTGTGAGATATAGAGGCCAACTTAATTTTTTATGCATTCGGTAATATAAGAAGAAAGTTCAAGAGCTATAAATAAAATTGAACGAAAATAGTTATTTACAGTACAAGTGTGTTTATGAATATGATTACAACGAGTGTGAACGATTAAAACGACGAGGTCGTAGACCGAGTCGTTCTAATCACACGAGTGTTGTAATCATGTTTAAACGCACGTGTCATGTACAACGTTTTATCTACAACCGAAAAATAAGAAAATGCTGTTTTAATTTTCGTTTATTAGTCGCCTACCTTTAACACCTTTAACTATGACATTTGTCACATTTATGCTGAAAAGTCAGTTTGCCCTGTCAAGTAAACGCGAGCACTTTTTGCCCAGAAAAATCATTTTAAAAATTACGATGAGCGATTCCAAAAGTCTCCCTTCAGATGTAGAACTTGCCGCAGTACGTGCCACGGAATCATTATTGCCGGAAAAGTTAATATATTTAGATGTTCGTAGTTGTTTTGCATTATTATATCAACTAGTTATTTATATTATATTATATATTATAGATTCATAACACCACTAGTTGTGTTATGAATCTCATAACGTAACTGAAATACTAAAAAATAGTGATGTAAAAACGTTATAACTAAACGGTTGTAGATAAATAAATTTGTGCAATAGGGTGGCAACCTTTTCGAACATGTAGAGCATTAGAAACTAGTTTGTAAAAGTTGATTTATGTATAATAACTACGATTAATATTATGCATATTATTAGATCACACAATGAGGTTTCCAATTCACGATAAAAAAGTTAAAAATAATATCTTTAAATTGCTGACCTGGATATTATTTATTTGAATCTTCCAATTGGCTCGATTTTCCTTATTGAATATTAATTCGCACTGATCAATATTGCTCGATAAATATAATCAGATATTTCCAATTCACGATAAAAAAGTTAAAAATAATATCTTTAAATTGCTGACCTGGATATTATTTATTTGAATCTTCCAATTGGCTCGATTTTCCTTATTGAATATTAATTCGCACTGATCAATATTGTTCGATAAATATAATCAGATATTTCCAATTCACGATAAAAAAGTTAAAAATGATATCTTTAAATTGCTGACCTGGATATTATTTATTTGAATCTTCCAATTGGCTCGATTTCCCTTTATGAATAATAATTCGCACTGATCAATATCGTTGCGATAAATATAATCAGATATTTCCAATTCACGATAAAAAAGTTAAAAATAATATCTTTAAATTGCTGACCTGGATATTATTTATTTGAATCTTCCAATTGGCTCGATTTTCCTTATTGAATGTTAATGCGCACTCTCTCTGATCAATATTGTTGCGATAAATATAATCGGACTAAATAATTTAAAAAACCAAAGTCAGATTTGAAATTATTTTAAATAATAATTAAATAGTTTTGTTGTTAAGGTACCGAAAACTAAAAAAAGTAGTGTGGCATATCATTGTACTCAGGAATCCGAGTTCTTTCAAAATCTGAAATAAAAAATGCAGTTCCGTATTTAAAAAAATAAGTTGGCCTCCACAGATTAGCAGCTAATTTGAAAATATAAAATTACTTTCAGATAGCCCTAATAAAGTGGCTATGAGAATGTGCAATTAGTTTTTTGATTTTCTAAAAGCTAACGACA